CTGCATCTGGTAGAAGCCCTGCCGGAGGTCGGCGCTGGCCCCGTGGCAGCCGTCGTCGCTGGCGTTGAGCAGGTCCGAGTCGAGGCAGAGGCCACTGAGGGCGGCAGCGGAGCCCAGCTCGGTCCGCGGAGGGCGACGGTGCATGCTCGAGGGCTCGCGCCCGTCGATGACCATGCGCAGCGAGCCGTCCTTCTTGCCGACGAAGAAGATGCTGGCGCGGGCGCGGCACCGCGCACGCACTCCCACGAGGCCGATGCGCACGAGCTTCTTGAACAGGTCGAGGCGCAAGGCAGGGTCCCGTCGCAGGTTGACGTCCCAGAAGGGGTAGACAGGCGGCAGCTCGCCAGACTTGACCATGCCGTCCAGCACCGACAGAGAGCGGAAGATATACTTCTCGGGCTCGTTGATGAGCGGGAGCATGGAGACGGGGACCAGCGAGCGGATGGGCAGCGGGCGGGCCCCGCTGTCGAGAACCTTCAAGAAGTGCGGCTCATAGGGCCGAACTGGCGTCGGCCTGCCGCTGTATATGTCCTTGGACTTCAAATGGAAAGGAGCGCCTCATCACCGTCCAGGCCGAGGGGGTCGCCGAAGGCGTCCACTCGCTGATGAATGCGCTGCAAGATTGATGCTTGGGCGGCGTTCGCAGGAAGGACCGAAGCGAGACGCCGCGCAGCCGCCAGCGGTGCGTCCAGGTCGTTCAACGCCATGATCGCCTGGCTGCAACGCCGCCGCACGCCGCGCGAGAGCCCGAGGGACGGGGCCCCCGCGGGCGTCGATCTGCCCAGCAAGGGCAGAGGGAAAGGGTCGCCGTGAGCGCGACAAGTCAAAAATCGAGGAGCCCCTTCGGCGGCAGGGCCTCTCGCGCGGCCCCCTGGGAAGCGGACTGCGGAGGGTGCATTGGCCGAGCGGCGCCGGGGCGAGCGCCGCCTCTCCGCAGCCCGAGCGACAGGAGTCATCCCTCCGCGGCGGCCGGGGCGTCGCCCCGACCGCCGCGAACACGTCCGCCGCCACGTCCACGCCCACGGCCTCGGCCGCGGCCTCCGCCTCCGCCGTCTCCGTCACCACCGCCTCCCCCGCCGTCGTCCCAGCCTCCTGAGCCTCGGCCGCGGCCGCGAGAGACCTGCTCCTCGCGCCACTGCCGCTGCTGCTTCAGCGTGAAGGGCTCGTCCTTCTGGATCTGCGCGATGTACTTCGAGTACTCGGGAAGGACCAGGCCGCCAAACTCGTTGACGGTCGAGGCGACCACCGCGTCGAGGTCCTGGAAGTCTGGGCTCCGAGGATTGCGGGCGACGGCCATCTCGATCTGGACCAGGTAGCGCACAAGGACCTCGACCCCCACGAGGCTGGGCAAGTTCAGCATGTCCTGCTGCTGGAAGGCGTGCAGGGCGTCGGTGAGCCGACGGTGGCAGCGCGTGATGTTGCTATTCGGGGAGACCCCTGACTTGTGGACGAAGTCCAAGTGATGGGTGACCCACTCCATGCCGGTAGCCCGTAGCGTGCGCATGTACTCGTGGGTGACCCTCTGTCCTCCCAGGGGGAAGGGAGGCTCGGCGGCGGCATGCTGTAAGCCCAGGGAGTCGACGAACGAGACGAAGCGCTGGCCGCTGACGGGATCCCTGACGTCACCAGTGATGCGTGAGTCCCGCTTGTGGCCCGAGATGAGCGCGCGCTCCCAGGCCTCCCGGTCGGCGTCTGGCACGAGCTGGCAGAAGGTCCAGCAGTTGTCGATCAGCACCAGGCCCGCAAGGTAGTCCTCGTCGCCAGGGGCGCCGGGCGTGATGAAGGCCGCGGGGTCCGAGGTGATCTGAACAGGCACCTCGTCCCCGAAGCTGCGAGCCGAAGGGTCGGCGACTCGCCACACCCCGGCGTCACCTCCAGCGGCCGGGGCTGCGGGGGCGGCCTGCCCTAGCACCTGCCCGAGCGAGGCCGCCTGCTGCCGAATCCGCGCGAGGTCCGCGTCAGGCACCGGGTTGTCGAAGACGTAGCTCTCATTCCACTGGGCGGCGGGGAAGGCGCAGTTGCGGCCCAGCGCCACCACGCGGTGGGTGTTCAAGTCCAGCCTCTGCACCGAGTAGTCGGGAGTGCTGGCGATCCACACCCCCGCAGTGGGGGTCTGGACCAGGAGCAACCTGTGATGCCACCTCAGCCCCGCCGCGTCGTCAGGGAAGTCGATCAGCACCTGCGGCTCGGGCAGGTCGAGAGTGACGCGCGCCATGGCGCCGTCACGCCCGCTGGGCCCGCTGGCTCGGCGTCACGGGGCCCGCGGTGAAGCCCGCCGGGGGCGGCGGCGGCGCGAGTGGCTTCAGCTCGGCCGGCGCGTGAGCCTCGGGCGCCGTACGTCGGCACGCGGCCCACGACAGCGCGGCCCCCAGCGCGGCCGCCAGCCCCAAAGCCAGCCAGCCCGGCCGTCCAGCGGCAGGGCGGTCGTCGAAGGCCTCGGTGAGGCTCGTCGCCGGCCCGCTGCACGTCAGCGTGCAGGCCTGCGACGGACACGGTGGGCAGGCTGGACACGCGGGCCCTCGCAGCAGCCAGAGCTCGGCGAGGCGTGCGCCGATCCCAACCAAATCCTCGAGCGCGGGCATGCGCGATCGTGGCTCCTGCCGAAAAACTTGAGCACAAGTATACAGACGGTCGTGCTCAAAGAGAGGCGAGGCACAATTGACTTCAAAGAACGACATATATATATATATATATATATATATATATATATGTCCTGGACTTCGGAACAAACGTTCTGCTCGCGTCAAGGACCTTCGAGCAAAGCGCCCTCCTCCTCCTCCTCCTCCTCCTCCTGTTCCTCCGCCCCCTCCCTTCTCCTGCTCCTGCTCCTCCTCCTCATCCTCCTGCTCCCCCTCCCCCTCCGCACCCCCATGCCCTTCCTCACGATCCCCCGCCTCCTCCTCCTCCTCCTGTTCCTCCTCCTCATCCTCGTTCCTGTCATTTCCCTCCCTGTTGAGCCCAGAAACAAGCGAACCGCCTGAGACATCCCCACAATATGGCCGCGAACGTGCCCGTGCAACCACCCCTGGCGGCTCCCCATAGGGGTGCTGCAACCAGCGCCCCGCCTGAGACATCCTCACAATCTGCTCTCCAAGCGAAGGATGTTGAGCCCAGAAACAAGCAAACCGCCTGAGACATCCCCACAAAATGGCCGCGAACGAGCCCGTGCAACCACCCCTGGCGGCTCCCCTTAGGGGTGCTGAAACCAGCGCCCCGCCTGAGACATCCTCACAATCTGCTCTCCAAGCGAAGGATGTTGAGCCCAGAAACAAGCAAACCGCCTGAGACATCCCCACAAAATGGCCGCGAACGAGCCCGTGCAACCACCCCTGGCGGCTCCCCTTAGGGGTGCTGAAACCAGCGCCCCGCCTGAGACATCCTCACAATCTGCTCTCCAAGCGAAGGATGTTGAGCCCAGAAACAAGCAAACCGCCTGAGACATCCCCACAAAATGGCCGCGAACGAGCCCGTGCAACACCCCTGGCGGCTCCCCTTAGGGGTGCTGAAACCAGCGCCCCGCCTGAGACATCCTCACAATCTGCTCTCCAAGCGAAGGATGTTGAGCCCAGAAACAAGCAAACCGCCTGAGACATCCCCACAAAATGGCCGCGAACGAGCCCGTGCAACCACCCCTGGCGGCTCCCCTTAGGGGTGCTGAAACCAGCGCCCCGCCTGAGACATCCTCACAATCTGCTCTCCAAGCGAAGGATGTTGAGCCCAGAAACAAGCAAACCGCCTGAGACATCCCCACAAAATGGCCGCGAACGAGCCCGTGCAACCACCCCTGGCGGCTCCCCTTAGGGGTGCTGAAACCAGCGCCCCGCCTGAGACATCCTCACAATCTGCTCTCCAAGCGAAGGATGTTGAGCCCAGAAACAAGCAAACCGCCTGAGACATCCCCACAAAATGGCCGCGAACGAGCCCGTGCAAACACCCCTGGCGGCTCCCCATAGGGGTGCTGAAACCAGCGCCCCGCTTGAGACATCCTCCAAATCTGATGTGTTGAGTAAGTCTGAGTATGAGTAGGTCTGAGTATGAGTATGCCTGAGTATGAGTAAGTCTGTGTATGAGTAAGTCTGTGTATGAGTGAGTATGGGTATGAGTAGGTCTGTGTATGAGAAAGTCTGTGTATGTGTACGTCTGGGTATGAGTAAGTCTGAGTATGAGTAATACTGTGTATGAGTAAATCTGGGTTTGAGTAAGTCTGTGTATGAGTACGTCTGGGTGTGAGTAAGTCTGTGTATGAGTAAGTCTGTGTATGAGTATGTCTGAGTGTAAGTAAGTCTGAGTATGAGTAGGTCCGAGTATGAGTAAGTCTGAGCATGAGTAAGTCTGAGTATGAGTAGGTCTGAGTATGAGGAAAGAGGAGGAGGGGAGGAGGAAAGAGGAGGAGGGAGAGGGAGTAGGAGGCGTCCAAGTAATAACAAGAACCCCATCTTAGGATATGGGGAACAACTTGTTTTTTGGTTTCCAACATCTCCCCAAATCCCAGTGCGCACTGGAGACGCATGAGGCCTTCTTGGGGCCCCATCCATTAGCAACGCGTTGCTTTGGCGGGTGGACGTGGTGACGTATGCTCGGCTGGGGAATCGTTTCTCCACGCGGCGCCGGGTGCCTCTTGCCGCCTTGGACAGGCCGCGGGGAAGTTGTACGACTATGGCCAGAAGGCCCCGCCGTGAACAAAAACGCCAGGATGGGAAAGCGTCGAACCGTTGGATCCCTGGGCACCCAGACGACGCGCACCCGGGCGACAGAGGCCCGCGTTCGTCGGCAGAGGAGGGCGTCGTGGGCCTGGGGGAGGGGGGCCGTGCACGAGCTGGGGAAGCCCAAGGGTACCGATACCGCCACGTACTCCCCGGACCTCTCCCTGGGTGAGCTCTGAACAGCATTCCGAGGCGAATCCAGCGGCGGCGACGAGAGCCTCCCGGAAGGCCCAGACAGGCGAAAGCGAGGCAACGGCAACGGTAGCGGCACCCTTTCCTCCTCTGCCGAGCGGCGTCCTCCAGATCACGTGGCCGTCAAACTTGACCCTGCCCCAGGAGTGCACCTCCACCCAGGACACCGTCTGCCGCTTGGCGGCGAAGACGCCCGAGATGGTCACGTCCAGGCCCTCGTCGGTCTGGGTGCCCTGCCCCACCATCTGGGGGGTGGAAGAGGATGCCCCCATGTGCTCCTGGTCCTGATCCTCCACCTTTTCCTCCTGATCCTCCTCGTCCTTCTTCTTCTTCTCCTCCTCCTCCTCCTCCTCCTCCTCCTCCTCATGTTCCTCCTCCTGCTCCTCCTCCTGCTCCTCCTCCTCCTCCTCATCCTGCTGTTTCTACTCCTCCTCCTGTTCCTTCCTCCTTCGCCTCCTGTTCCTCATCCTGCTCCTGCTCCTGCTCCTGTTCCTCCTCCTGTTCCTTCCTCCTTTGCCTCCTGTTCCTCATCCTGTTCCTGCTTATGATCCTCCTCCTCCTCCTCCTCCTCCTCCTCCTCATCCTCATCAGCATCAGCATCAGCATCAGCATCAGCATCAGCATCAGCATCAGCATCAGCATCAGCATCAGCATCAGCATCAGCATCAGCGCATCATCATCATCATCATCATCATCATCATCATCATCATCATCATCATCATCATCATCATCATCATCATCATCATCATCATCATCATCATCATCATCATCATCATCATCATCATCATCATCATCATCATCATCATCGTCAGCATCATCAGCATCATCATCATCAGCATCATCATCCTGTTTCCCCTCCTGCTCCTGTTCCTCCTCCTGTTCCTCATCTTCCTCCTCCTCCTCCTCCTCCTCCTCCTCCCTGATCATCCTCCTCCTCTTCCCGTTCCTCCTCTTCAACCTTTCTGTGGCGACGGAGAGGAAGGGGACAGAGAAGGACTGGGAAGGGGGGGAAGGGATTTTCCTTCAACAGCGACAAGGATGAATGACCCCAGCCTCACGGTTTGAACATCATCACCACAGCAGCTTACCATCGCTCGGCCGTCCATTCCCCGTATAATTTTTGGGTTCGTGCGTATTCTTCCCCTGGTGATCCGAGATGCTGCGAGATGGTCCAGATTTTCAGGGGCGACATTGCCGAGAAGAATACACATGTCCGAGCGATGCCAAGGCAGGGCTGCGCGGCAGCGTGAGACAATGAATCGAAGAGCGTCCGCTCGCCCACCCGCTCCCGCGTGCAGAATCTTCAAAGAAGCCTTGAGGCGAAAGGAAGGGAGGGGAGGGATCCAGAACTCTGAACTCCGACGTCGTGAATCTTTCGCAGAAAACCCTGGAGATCTGGATCCCCTCTGACTTAGGACCTGCCGCACTTTGGCTGATCTTCCAACTCGAGAATGCTTCGAAAATGCACCCCGGACGGTGCGACAAAGTGGGGGCAGAACCCTCCGCATCGGCAAAGTGGGGCAACTGTCTCCCCCAAAGGTGTGACGGCAACAGCGACGGCAAGGCCAGGCGGCAATCGGCACCAAAAGAACTTGAACATCAGGCCAGGAGCTTTCGCCCTACTTACGACAACGCCGAACGTACGGCGGCCCCGAAGACAGGCTTCGGGCGCCTGCCACGCAGCCCCCATCGCCCCCCTCTTCAGCCGCTGACTCCTTTCCCTTCGCGATCCCCCCCTTCGTGCGGCGACCTCGTGCCATGTCGACGCGGCGGCGACCCCGCCGCGGGTGTTCAGGGCTGCGCGTCCGGAATCGGCCGATGATCAACGACCTGTTCCATGGAGAAAGGAGAAAGCACCGATGCCGCTGCTCCGCGAACCCCTCTCCTGGGGTGAGCTGTGACCAGGATGTCGAAGCGAATCCAGCCGTGGCACCGAGGGTCTCCCGAGAGACCCAAGAAGGCGAAGACGAGGGAAGGGTAGCGGTATCGGCGCGTTCTCCCCCTCAGAATCCCACCAGCCCTTTGGGCGTGAGTGGTTTAGAGAGCCCGCTCTGTTCTCAACCCCCTTCTTCCCCTTCGGGGAGGGGTTTACCCCTCCCCCTCCCCCCTCCCCCTGGGCCTGGAGAGGTCCTTTCGCGGGTGGTTGGAGGGGTCTTTTTCGACTCCTGGGAGGGCTCAAATTCGACACCCCTCACGAGGATTGTGGCCCCGACGGGGGGAGGCAGAAAAATGCTCGCCCCAGCTGTGATCGATCGCCCGAAAGATGGCCCCAAGAGACCTCCCAGACCCCTCCCAAAGAGCCCCAAGAGGCCCCAAGGGGCCTCCAAGAGGCCCCCAAGATGCCCCCAAGAGGCCCCCAAGAGGCCCCCCGAGGCTCCCCCGAGGCACCCAAGACGTTCCTGGAAGCCCTTGGGGCCGCCAAGAGGCCCCCAAGACGCCCCAAACGGCCTCCAAGAGGCTCCCAAGAGGCCCGAACAGGCTCCCCCAAGGCACCCACGACGCTCCTAGAAGCCCCTGGGGCCGCCAAGAGGCCCCCAAGACGCCCCAAAAGGCCTCCAAGAGGCTCCCAAAAGACATCTACTACTACTACTACTACTACTACTAC